TCAGGACAAACACGTCTCCCGCAAAATGATCATTTTCGAGATTTAACTTTTGTTGTATACCTACGATGTGTGTTGCAATTCATTTTCTGAAATCTTAGAAAGTATTGATACTGCATTACTTGCTTTCAGTTCTCAATCAAAATTAATAAATGTCGATATACTATTACCTGCCAACTTTAGAGTGATTCCTAATAAATTCGTATTTCGTTTTAGTATAACGAAAACCATCCCGCCTTAATAATCTGTCGGGAAGGATCTGCTAAGTATCTGTAGAGGGACCTGTGTCGTTATAGGGGCCCTCATTTGTGCCAAGAGGCAGAGAAGAGCTGCATACAGCTAAGAATTGACGCGGAGCTCGCCTCCATCTCAGGGCACGTACTTCATCGCATGGAATGTGTTTTTCTTCTCGAGTGGCGGAGGCGGCGTTTAATGACGTCACGTCGCCGCGTGGCACCGTCACTTTGTCGCTCTTATTTCCGACTCGCGGCTGTCGGGCGGGCGGGCGGGCAGTCGCGTACCGGTTCCCGGGAATCGTGTCCGCCCCATCCGGTTCGGGAAGGGTTTTTCCTCGGCGGCGCCCTTTGCGCGGAGCCGATCCGCCGACCGCTATCTCCGCGAGTTCCACGAATCGGCGCGGGATCCGTTCCGGTTCGGTTCCCGTTCCCGGCCGCGAGGTGCCTGACCGCATGCCGAAGGCGAATTGGCCGCCCCCGCGTCCCGCCCTCAAACGCGGGGTCCTATTCGGTTGGAGCCCTGATCTCCGCAGGGAACTGGATGGCGCGGAGGGAACGAACGTTGTGACGTGTTGAAGGCCTGTGAAAATGGCGAACTCATTGGAGTGTTTTTGCGCAGCATCCAACTCGATGGTGTATGCCAGGGCTGGCCAACCTCTTGCATTCCATGCACGATTTCTTTTTCTCCCAAGATCAGAAGGGCCAGACCACTTTAAGCACTTTTTCGACTTTCATGTACTATCGGGATTGGTGTTGGAAAATAGAGATAGGAATAATATATGTCTCTCTCTGTACAGGAGGATATTGGATAACGCAATCGCGCAACTAAATTTATTCATTTACGACACTTCAGAAAAGACGTTTACTGGATCACTAATTTATAATGCTGAGAGGTAATGTGGACGAGGGGGGGCGAAAGCTGTCCTGGAGCCCACTTTTAGTGCTGTAGCTGCCCGAGAGTCTTATTCGGTGAAGTGTGGACCACATGGGATGTAATGGGGAGACTGAAAGCACTCTGATGTTAAAGATATGACAATGGATTCCGTTAAGCATATGACGCCTGCTTAAAAAAAATAAAGTGGTGTAGTAATACGTATACGTAATCATCCAGAACGCCTCGTCTGGCACATTCGGTCCCCATTCACAGTCCCCTGACGTATTTGCTGAGCACCAAGTTGGGGACCAATACGCCTGCGCGAACTGTAACATTACGTAATGAAAATATGTATTACCTTACAACTCGTAAAGGCAATGTGTGTGTGTACCGCTTATCTGTTCGGTTAAGCAAATAATTGTGAAACAAAATGGAAGTTCGAACCAACAGGACGTGATCTCTTAAGATTTAGCAACATCGATACAATCTGTTCTTGAAGTTCAAAACAATTACCCATTGCGGCATTAACTCAGTGAAAAAAAAGAACGTTGTGGAAAACTCTCTCAGCATATAATATATGGAAGGATCACATGTTTGACTATTAGCAGTTTACGCTATGTGGTTTCGCGCTGTGCAAAAAACTCTAACACGGCAGTCAGTAGCGTGCAGGTGGCCTGGAAGCCACGTCTAACGAAGTGGACGAAGGAAGAAGAAGTTGTTTTGTTGTGATTATGTTTTTGTCAGCGGCTGTTGGTTCAGCGATAGAGAGTTCAGCCACAGCCAGTTTTGTGGTGTCGAAGGCCGCGTTAGTGGTAGGTCATTTTACTGAGACGAAAATTGTTTCTTCAATCGGCGAATATAGTGGTCAAAAACTTTTGTCTGGTAACGTTGTGCTACCTCAAGATAGTATTTACATTTACGTCTATAAACTTTAAATTAGTGTACAGAAAATTAGTATCTGTAAACCATATCTAAAATACACAATTTGTAAGTTAAAATTGTAGTTTCAGAACCCCTTCGACCCTTCCGTAAAACGTGGCCGTCCTCGGTGGCACTGAAATCAGAACAGATCTGTTCTCGAAAATCCGATTAAATCGACCCATCATCAACATCAATTTTTTTTTTAACTCTAGCAGCCAAATAACTTCGCTTGAACACGACATAACCCTTTCAAATTATACAGCAAAAACAAAATGAATGATTTACTATTAGCTATATATTGTTTGAATATTAATCATACTAGCAAAACACATAAATAGCTAATACGTTTTTTGCGGATTATATCTGTCAAAAAGTGGAAGAAAATCAATCGAAAATACAACAGCGGAACGATAGCGGGTGCGCCCGAATGAATTGAGAAAGAGTTTACAAGTTGCGAGGAGCATAGACCCGTGAGAGCCTTGTAAATTGAACTACTCATACAATTGGCCTCTTTTCAACAAAATTTTCCAAATATGTGAGAATCGGGAGGAATTAAGACATACGATCATTTCTTTGTTCCAACTTTACAAACACCATGCGCTGACAGCTCTGCGTAAATGAGGCGAGCTTCGTCAAATACCTCAACGGTGATGAGCCCTACAAATAACTCGACAAGTTCGGTGAAATGCACGCGGTGAGGCTTACATCAAGAGGTGTTGCTGAACTGTGCCCCGCCACTTCCCGGGCGGAGCGGTAGCTGCCCTCAGAACGTGGCTGCAAAAACCACTAAACACTACCAAACACAATTTCTCTTCTGTTCGTATCAGACTATTAAATCACACCGTACCATAAAAATGTTGCCATTCGTTTCTACTCTGAATTTAAGTCAATCAATATCAATAACGTCATTTTGTGCGTAGCAATCAAGTCACTGAGCACGTAGCATCATTCCTAAACAACTAATTATGTTCAAGATGTATAATTTTCATCTTTGGGACGCGACACTTGAATTGTGTGGGCCTTTGGGGCCTCTTCTTTCCACGGGACACACCGGCTTGCGCTGACAGCTGCGCCGAGCTGTCTGCTTTCCCCGTGGTTTATAGGAAGAGTAAATTCCGGCGGTGAGTTTACGGCTGTCGACTCTTTATTTGGGCGGCAATCGACGCTGAGCCCCTGGAGGCAACTCAGATACTTCCGCGACGAGCTCCTTATGCAACGACCGCCTTCCGGGTGACTGGGTCGCTCGCGGATGCGCGGCTCGAAAAAAAACCTCGGCGCCCCTGCGCTGTACCAACGACACCACATTTAGACGGACCAAGGTAACGGCCTAACTCGGAGGTCTTCAACGCGCCAATAAATACTCCGTGGCTTAATTTTTTGTCGGCCCGCAAATAAATACTCGTTTTAACTACTAAGCTGCTCGAAGTTTGCTTTCAAATTTCTGCTTCCAACTTTAAAGCTAGAATTGACAGTTTAATGGTACATTAGATCTGGCGTTAAGTTCAAGAATGTTATTGTGCTCATTAACATTTCAATGTTGAAGGCTAAATATTAAATATTAACATGTTGGCCCTATAAAGTTGAGTATTCTCACAATTATTGTAATATGATATGATCTATTTGTTTGACGTAAGTATCATGTTATTTCGTTATTAATAAATCAGTGCGGTCCGCTGTTGTTTCTGGATGACGGTCCTTTACTAAAAAAAGGTTTGAAGACCACCGACCTAACGTGGAATAGTTCAACCATGGAGACAGAGAGTTGTCCGTCTTCATGGCCCTCTCTCCCCGTCACAGCTGTCTTTGGGAAAGGAAAGTGAGGCAGTTTAGACTAGCCCTGCGTTTTGCACGGCTGTTGAAGGCGACAAATTCCGCGTTTATGCAGCTTAGCTGTAATTGCTGCTGATGATGAGAATTACCATTTACAAACTTCTCTCTCGGTCAAAGTTGTGTGGATAGTGGCAAAGCTCGACTCCCTTGACGCTGCGGTCAGTCAATTCTTATGCGAAGGAGGGAGTGAATCAGCTTTCCTAGTCGCGTTTGTTAAGGGAAACTACAAACTCTGAAAGTAGTAGAAGGCAGCTTCACGACGCCCCCTGATGTTAGCCCTCCCCGCGTGTAATTTTTGGAGCCGAGCTATAGCGATGCACAGTGATTCGCTACTTTGGCGCCTAAGATTTTTTTGGCGGAAATCGTCTTAATTATGCAATGCTTTCAGAGCGTGGGGTTTGTAACGTTTGCTAAGAAAGAAGCGACCACAGGTCTTAATTTTACACGATTATGATTAATTTAGATAGTTTTCTTGCAGACTTGAATGTCACCAACGCGAACCAAGGTTAGGTGCTTGTAAGCTTTCATATTAGCATCTGGAAATACTGTTCACGTTAATGTCAAAGAAAATCAATGTGAATGTTGTAATTATAAAACCTCGTTGCAAACTTTTGTATTCAAGTATTGATGGCGCTTATTTTCTATGTGAATGGCGCCTAAAATTACTTGTCAGCACACTCAGAACTGTCTCGAGATAGGAAGGACACACTTAAATGGACAAGGCTTCCATCGTTATCGAAATGCCTAAACAGTCGATGAGGAACGGAATGTTAACAACTTTGGCAAGGACGCAACACCTCAAGAAAAACCGAGATTTGGGTAGGATTTATGGCAGACAAAAGGCAACTGCTTATCCTCGACCTTCCCTATAATGAGCACCTGTCGTATGTGGTGTTTGGAAACGTTCACTGCTCCACGTGTCGGTCGTGCAATACATGAAAATTCTTTTTACCTAATGCATGCCTCCATCGCCAGTCATTACTATAGTGATAAATAGGCATCAATCATGAATATTTACTATCCAGAATTTTCTTGTAGATAGTGTTCTTAAACGGTGCGAGGATGGAAAAAGTTTACTGTTACAATAAATGCGATTTACCTCCCAGTCGACATCGTTTTAATGTGTTTTATTTCTTTTACAGGTGAGTGCCACAACGCCTTTCCACTTTCGGAGGACGAACAAGTTTTTGGTGAGTTTTCGTATAAACAATTGTAATTCAGCAATTGTGGGTGAGAGAGAAGGGAGTGAGGCAGGGAGAGAGAGAGGGGGGGGAGAGAGGAGGAGGGGAAGTTGAAGCATGAGTGTTGAGGAGAGCTGGTTGCCAGGCCCCTCGCCTCGCTATGTTCCTCAGAAGTCACATCCACACGACCTGTGCTTATTGTTCTACACCCGCTCGCTCACACAAGTCAAATTAAATAAACAGCGCGAGCTTCAAAAAGGAGGCCGACGAAGGTTTAGTGTGGCTTTGTAGGTATAATCAAAGTTCTTATATCGTCGGTGCACAAGAAAACTGAACACAGTCTTCAAAACTTGGCATTTTGCAGAACAGCTTGATCCTGAGCCGATTCTTTTATTTTCCGGCGTTCTGTAGTTTAATATTGGTTAATCGGTGGTTTGTCGTTGACATATCAAATAAAAAATTAAAGGCGTTGTCTTTACCAACTATATTGACCAAGACTATGCCTCTTATTTTATTTGCAGATTAATCTTGACCTAAATTATCAATTGAGCTAATTATCAATATTAAATTTGTGCCATTCGCCCGTGTCAATGAGACAACAAAATCATTGGTCGCAATATCTAATGAATCGAAATTAATTTGGTTGTAATTAAGAAAGTTACTAACCGGAAATATCGTGATATTCTTCACTATGAAGTGAAAGCCGAAACAGTAAAACAAAATTCGTAGTTTGTTAACATTAAAATAGTTAATAATGCTTGTGAGGATTAATACTTAGCGGGTGAAATGAAATTTGTAAGATGAACATGAATAAATGAGTTTCTCGTTTCAGTTATAAAAAAAATCATTTGAATTTCTCTTTAGATGTATTTATCTTCTAAGAATTTCTTGTCTAGAACGTATGTGTTATGCATCCATAGGATTTTTAAGATATAGTGTATTTTCTGAAACCTATTAGATATCGGCAATATGATTCCACCAATTTTAGTTTCCAATGGCACTCTGATTAAATCGAGAAAAAACCGGCCGAAATTTAAAAAATGTAGCTGAAGTTGTTCGATCAACATAATTTTCAAGAGTACTTTAAAGTTTTTGGTTCCCTTCTTTGCTGACTTGGTTCACTCGTATTGTTCACTATTGTCACGTATTAACTTCATTTAGCCCAACCTATCGTATTTTTATTTTCGTGGCTAATGAACCTCAAAATTCTGTAATGGTATTGCAAGGAATTACTAAGAAAAGGAACAACTCAATTCATTGGCACCTCTAACGTTTTTTCTTGGACATTTATTTTTAAAAACTAGCAAAATTAGTATTTTCTTCGTGTTTTCATGTTTAAAATGCCATGTTGTAAAGTCATTATCATAACATTGTGCGCCAATATCGACTTTCTTACTATCTCGGGTTGATGATGTTCTTAGAGTAGTTTGTGTAGGATAATTTACTTACTCGCTCCTTTATGAGTTCTCCATACTTTCACAATTTTCTTTCATCGTTTTTATTTGTTTTGATATATTTTGTCTATAACATTAACTCCAGCGTGCTTAGTATACTATCAACATAAGCACATCCTTTTTTGCATGAATATTGCTCATGTGAATGTCGTTGTATGCGAACAGTTCGGTGCTGAGAAGAAACATCGATTGCCCTCGTGCTTAGCAGCTACTAAATTATTTCCTCGTGTTTGAGGAGTATCGTGTAACGTAAGTGGCGCAATTTGAGTGAAGCATTCCTCTGTTTTGAATATGCGTGTTTCGTCGTAAATCGCCGGCGCGACGGGGCGTGGAGCATTGTTGCGCGAGGAGACACGACAGAGCATCTGATAGCCATGTGAATAATCACGTGGTGACGCTAACGAGGTTGGCGTGCGGGCGAACATGCAGGAAGCCGGGGCGGGGGAAGGGGGGGGGGAGCTGAAAAAGTGTCGCGCATGGCGGCTCCCGGCCAGGGGAGCAGCACGTGGCGGGCACATGGCAGCACATGGGGCGGGGTGCGTTCCCCTGCGCTGGTGCTGGTGCTAGTGTCGCGTCGGGGCGCTCCGCAGGGTCTGCTTCTCTGCCTTCTTAGGCTGCGCTTTAGGGCGACTTCTTCGGAGAGAATTCCTGAATGGCAGAGTTGGAAGGTCGTCATATTTCGCGAGTAAACACAAGCTATGATAGGTCGTTTGTTTATTCAGGAAATATAAATGCGTTTTAATGGAATTTTAAATGGATTATTAATTATGGATAATTAAATTATGTCGATTTTGTTTTATTTAACAATTAGATTAAATGACTCATTACTCTGAGGTATTGCTCGTAACCTTTTATACATTTCACACTGCTCCTCTTATCAGAGTTTATATAATGGATGGTGTTGTGGTCAATATAAACTATCTTTTTTAAGTAAAATAACCAACGATACTCTTCAAACAATGAAATTTTATTCGTAACCACCCTCAAAGCTTTCGTGGTATGTTTCAGTAAATATTCACAGATGTCAATGATATATTGGCCATTACCGTCTACATTAGGACCGGTTTCATCCCCTTTCCCAATCTATTTATTTCTTTTTGTTTACTGGCCTTTAATATACTAAAGTTATTGAGATCCATACTGGTTATCTAATGAAAAGATGCTGATGATAATCATGAAGAGGAGAATGATGATGTAGAAATGGTGGTGGAATCCGAGGCAAGAGAACGGAAAACCCCGAGAAAACCCGCCGAGAGGTCGCTTAGTCGACCACAAAGTTCACATATGGTGGCCAAGGATCGAAATCGGACTCCTGAAGTGAATGACGTACGCGGTAGCCGTCAAACCACGACTGCTTCCTTCCCCCCTCCCCTCCCCCCGTTCTCCGCGCAACTAAGAGAGATTCAAGTATTAAGGTCCTCAGTGTGAATATTCTAAGTGCTGGGAGAACCTTGCGGGATCATACTGTACTAATAACTTTCCAGATTCAGCATTTTTTGTATCACAAAGAGCAGTGCATGTCGTCTTGTCGTGAGGGGGGAGTGTCTTGTCGAATAATTTCGTTCGAAACCGAATCGTACGAAAACTATGATGTACGTAAACGAGGTCAATGTCTGATGTACGTAAACAAGGTCTGGCTGTACTATATCCAATTCTCAGTTTGCACCTTAGAAAATTGCATTATTCAGAAATTGGTGTTGCTTGCTGTTTTGTTTTGTTTTTTTTTTGTTTTTTTTTTCTCTCAAGATTTTGGTTTATGGCATTTGGCACTGTGTTTATTTGTGATGCGTTCTTGTTACTTGATGAACAACGCGTGTCCTTCGGTGGCGTGGACACCACATTTAATGAGACTGTCTATGATTGCTGGGCGTTTAAGCACGGCTGTTTTTGCCACTGCAAAATGGGCTCGTGGCTCTGAAGTACAGGCTGCGCCGTGACAAATAGTGGGTTTACTTTATGACATAATTTGATAATACCGTAATAACATCTCTTAATTAAGGTTTATTATGGCCTGCTAATTTGTTAGAATTTTGCATGCTCTCTCTTATGACGCTTGTTCTTTCAGATTTACTTTTTGTTTCAGGATAAGATGTGTAAAGAAACGCGTTTTTGTTTACAATTTGTTTTCGATATTTTGTATTTATGAATGTTTTTGATTTCTTTAAAATCAAAGTAATTATAATTTGGTTCTTACAATATAAATTCACAGCATGCCTTTGCAGTTTACTTACAACCGCTTGCCGTTTTCTTAAAATAAAGGAAAATATATTTAAGTTTATCCCCTTAAATTTCGAAATAATATAATAATGAAAGTAGACCCAGTTACAAAAAAGGAAAATCCTGTTGTGATTTGGAGGCTGTGACTTATGGTTGTGAAGTCACGGGTATTGCATGTTAAAGAATGATGTTTTTCATCTTCAAGTATTAGATTGAGAGATGAGAATGAATACAAAGTTTTATACGGAATTCTTCCAAACCCAGAAAATCGGTGTGCAAGTAAATAGTAAGAGGCATTACTGAAGGTCTAGTTGCATTTTCCTCGTTCTTCTTTGAATGCTCTTTCTTCTACGTGTTTGCCGGCTTGTGTCGCAAGACCTTGGATTCCATGCGCACTTCTCAGAAGTGTCAAGAGGCTAGGTCTGTGGTTTATCAAATGTGGCTTATTATGACTTAACTAAGGCCACTCGACATTGAGAGGCTGGAGCCAACAAAATCATTTCAAAAAGTTTCTTCGGGTCGATGACCTTTGAGACCTTTGAAGTTGGGAGAATTAATCTTTTCTGAGGTGCCCACAAGGGAGCATTGAAGTTGACTAATTTTTTACGTATATTAAAACTCTAAATTAAGTCTTGAACGTGATATACCTCTGGTACCTACTTGTCTCGCATTATATGGTCATTTCAGTCAGGTTTACAAAGACAGATATTAAGTATGATTTGATATGAGATGGTACAAATAGCAACAGTGACTTTATGTAGCGGATCAATTCAACTTTTTTTCTTTATTCATAGTTCTTTTTGGAACATTTAACTGTAATTCACTATCACGTGAAAGAGCATTTCATTATTGCAATAGGGACCCGTTGCCTTCATGTTCCGTCTACGTTCTCAAATTATCAAACCATTGCCACGACATCAGTTTATTTCTGTAAGCAGTTTGTCGCTTCTCATCTTACATCCATCACTCACCCACAGCATCAATCACTCGAGCTCAACCACCCATCGCCTGTCACATGTCACGGAGTAGACGCTCTCCGCACAATCTTTTGCCTCTTATCGCCCTCGGGACGTCCGTCTTCCACGAGCCCGGACCACGCGCGAGCAGCGCGCTCTAACGCCGCATTCGCTGGTGAAACAGAAGCGGTCACTAATGCAGTCGAAAAAAACAGAAAGCGGTAGCTTAGGGAAGACATCGTGACCTCCGAAGCATTATTGACCGGTAAATTCTAGGGTTCCAGTCACAACGGTTGCGAATTTTCGATTTTCGGTAGCTACAGAGCTGACTGTGAGTCGAATTCAACCACTATTTGGAGGAGAATTCTACCGGCCGTCTGGTCTGACCGGTAGTTTTACGTTGTTTATATGATCAATGCCAGGCGAATGCCGGAGCAATACCCTAAAAATGGGCCATAGACGCGCGCGATCTGTCCTTCCTCGTTCTTGTCCTCTTGCCATTCCTTAAACACTCACATTTACCTGCATTACACTTCCACACATGACAGGAGACCAGTTGGGAGTCAAAGCATGTCTGGTCTGAGAAGGAAAACCTGCAAGAAGACCTGAAGATCGGCATCAGAACTCGCGTTTCAGCTGAGGAACGCCACCACCTTCTGGATACAGAATGCACTACATTTACAGGAGTAATGACGTAATAATTGGTGCACCCAGAATGAATAAATACTCACCCAATCGAAAAAGTGTGGTATTACTGATACGCATTTTGGAATGCCCGAAATTACAATCGTCAGTTTCGAAAACTTTCCAAAGTAATGGATAATGCAATATTTAAACAGTTATTTGTTTTATGTGTTTTTACAATCCAAAAACCCTACATTTAACACTTAATTTGTGTATTTTTTCCACTTTTCCTCCTTAAAACGGAATTGTAAAGTGAAAAACGCATAGTAATTGTACGTAACACAATATTGTTACAGAGTTAAAATAGTAAATTGAGTCGCAAGAATTTCTTACGAATTGAAGCGTGTTTTCTTTTCACTTCAAGAACAATACCTTGTGTTTTGTAACCGAAGAGATTCGTAGAGCGCCGTACGCGCCGGCTGTCGTCGGCCTCGTCCCTCATCCCCTGCCGCGGCGACGCCCTCATTACATGCGTGACGTCACACGTCCATCGGCGGCCGGCGTAATCGCGCGTCGTTTCACGTGCAATTTAACTCGCATCGGCCGCCAGCCTGCGCCTCGCGCGCTCGCCTTCGCGCGTTTTTGCGCCCCTCGCCTCGCCCCGGCCCCGCCGCCGCCATCGCCGCTGTCACGTCGGCGTGGCTTCTGCCAGCGCTGCCACCGCCCCTGCGTTTGCTTCCGCCGTCACCATACTTTCCTCCATCAAACATCGCCTTCATATCCCCTGCTGCCATAATCACCATCCTCTTAGCCACCGTCACCGGAATCGTCAACATAACATGGTAGTGCAATCACGATCACCAAAATCACGGCCACCAAAATCACCGCCACTGATTTCAGACACAGCAATCTTCACCACAAAAATCTTGATGATTAAGGGCATGGTGATTATGGTGACTGTCACCATAATCATCACACCATAATAGCCACCAGCATTGTCAGGGAGTAAAATTACTACCACCAAAATCACATAGACACCACCATTATAATCTCGGTCACCTTTATCTCCGCCACCACATTCTCCACCATCACCACTATCAAAGTTACTCATCACAATCACAACCACCCAAAACAGTCACCATAATCTGCATGAGCATGACCTCCTTCACCACCAGTGCATCGCTTCCATCGCCATCGCCGCCGGCGCCGCGTGCGCGCGTTTTGCCCCGGCCGGCCGCGCAGACAAGTGGCGATTGCAGCCTGGACGAGCGGCAAGAAGCAGAAGCAGCAGCCGAAGCCGCTCGTTCGCAGCGCATGATTCCCTGCGGTGCTGATGGCGCAAATCCAGCTCCCTTTGGCTCAAAGGCATGTTCTGTTGCGTTGGCTGAACTTATCCTTGTGTTGTATCACATCACATTGTTTTTTGTTGTTGTTTTTTTTTTAAACAGCTAACTTAACTACTTAAACGCTGTCAGCTATTTGAATCATTTGCTGTAGCTGTTTGCCAAAAAATGCTCCGTCTCTGACTGTTGACTGAAGAGACCCTCCGGTGGTGAGTTGCAAAGCAGAGAAATCACCCGGAAAGACGTGGTTTATTGGAATAATTCGTAGTTGAAAAACGCGCCTTTTCGTGGGCTTCTGAATTAATGCCACCCCGACGAGCCGTCGGGAGAGATCGAGCTTACTTTTTCGCCTATGAGCACATTTTTCTCAAATATACTGCACATTTTAACTCAGTGCGTCTGGGAAAAATAGGACGTCCCTACCACATTTTTTATTCCTAGCAATTTTCTTTCTAGGAACTTGGGTAGGGTTTCCCTAAGTAAAAGCTATCGGTTTTGAGGTTAATAAAACGTTGTACTAATCGCTCCGCACCCTGAACATGTTCTCACTGAATTGTGACTCGACGATGAGGTACTTCGATGGCGTTCAATCCAGTTATAGATTATCGGAACGATTGGCAGCCCGCTGCCTGTCGTCACTCTCTTTGATATCAACGACATGGGCGTCGCCAAGAAACTCACAAACTTGGCCGGCATTCTCGCTCCGTACAACAGCTTCACGGCTTCGAAAAAGCACGGCATGGTTGGGGTTACCTTAGTACTTCCCCTGAGGGAACGCGAATTCGAAATCTCTTTCACACTCTCATTCAAGCAAGAATTGATTCGCAGCAGTTTGGTTGGAATCGTCTGTGACGGTTCCTGCAATTTTGTAGCTTTCATCGCCCGTCTATTAAACAGAGCGATTGGCTAAGGCAAACCGACTTTCTTTTCCAACAGTTCTGGCGTACACAGGTACGAAATACATACGACTTCGGCAGAGAAGTGGGCCTCCAAACAGAGGAACCTTCTCCTCCGCTACATTTGCGCTTCCATGGTGGATACTGTTCCGCATCGTATCCGTCTTCAGCCAAAGAAATTCAGGTATGAGTGTGCGGCACTGTATTAGCGGGATTTTAAATGCACTCAGAAATCAAAATTATCATCTTCTTACAAGAAATTGGAATACAAATATGAAGCACTTAAAAAATTGATTCGTGGATTTCAATTACACCTTCATCGTGTTATTTTTCGTTCAAACTTGACACTTTATGCCAGTTTCTAAATGTCTCTCAACACTTCTCGCTCTCCATGCAACATGACGGCCAGGGTCTGATACGACCTCAAACGAAGTGCCCGTGTTGTGGCACGTGGTTTGTGACGTAAACTGATGTAGCACAGAACGAGCAAAAATCGGTGCGCTGAACTAGCTCTCCCATCTCTTTCCACCATGCGCGCACCCGTAGTTCAGCGCGACGAAGTTGTCGAGCGACAGAACCCATGCCTTCCCCAAGGGCCTTTCAACTCCCATATAACGTGGTGGAAACCATTACGGCGGCGCACTCTCCTGCATCACCTTCTTACAGGAACTAAAACACGAACTGCTACCAACGATACTTATAACGTGCGTGGCTGCTGCGTGAGTTTCCGGAATGTAAGTACTCTTAATGTTACAAAAGATAGCGCCGATGTTCACGCTTTCTTCAGCGGTTCTTTATTTGTGTATATGAAGAATAATTGAACATTTGGGAAACACATCTCCTATTTCTCACAAATTAGCCAATTTTTCTGTGCGGAAGTTGACGAGCGTAACCTACAGCTGCACCCGGCGGCACTGGCGCCTCTTATTGAAGCACCCTCCAGCCCTGTCCCCGGTTTTGAGGGAGAGTTGCAAGGCCATATCCTGCCCTCCCCTCCCCTCCTCTCCCCCCGTTGCCGCCAGGGCGCGTGCGTCGGCGTGGCGGCGGCTGGCGCGGGGCCGATGGCCGTCGCTGCGCCGGAATCCGGTAACAAGCGCAGCATCAATCGCCGTCTCGTTCC